CGCTCCGCCCCGCGGGGCGGCCCCGCGGCCGAGGAGGCTGCGGAGGGGAAGGGGGACCAGGAGCGGGGCCGGGAGCCGAGCGCCGCGGTCCCGGCGGTCACAGCAGCGGCCGTGGCGGCCCAGACCAGCACCCGGCAGAGCTGCTCCAGAGCCAGCTGGGCAGCAGTTTTCCCACACCCCCCAGAGCTCCCCAGATGGGTGCTGCACCCTGGCCCTTTGCCCTGCCCCCCTGGCAGCCCTGGCACCCACCCTCCCGAGGGTGCCCTGCCAGGGGCTCCCTGCAGCAGTGTTCCCAGGCAAATGGCAGTAAAGAAGAGGCGGGTGGGATGTAGAGGTGTCCCAAGGATATCACTCATTCTCACAAGCAAAAACCTACCCACAGCATCCCGCAGGAAAGAGCCTTGTTCCCCCTTTAGGTTCATCTTCAGCACGAAGTAACTCCAAGGACAGTTCAGTACAGAGACATTGCCGAGGCCTCCAGGTAGCTACTGGATTGGCATCAGCCTTCTGGTCACAGGGGGAAAAACAGGGGGGTTTTAATTAACTCCAGCAGAGCAAATGGCACTGCTGTCAGCTGAACGGCATTATTTGCTTCAGGTGGTCGCAGGGGACCGGAATGCAGCTGCTGTTTGCACAGACTGGGGCAAACCAAGAAACTGCAGCTGCCACTGGGAGAAGCAACGGGCCGCTCTGCATGGCGGGGCGCCGCGCACACAAGGGCGGCTTTCACTGCCCGCGGCAGGCGCCAGGGCCAGGCTGGGCGCCCGCACCCGCAGCAGGTGCGCGGGTTCTTCCCTCCGCTTCCCCAGCGCTCCCTTCAAGGCAGAGCTGCCGCCGCTCCCCTGGTCCCGGCGGGAGGGAGAAGCTCAGCTCTCCACTTGGCAATCAGGCCTCCTACACAGATCACCCCAACCTGGTGCTCAGCCCATCTTCTTCCTGAGTCAGCACAACTCCTCGCAGTATCACGAATGAGCAGCCGTCCTGGCGAACCAGGGAGGGCACCCGCCAAGAGGGAAATCTTTGCACTTTTCTTTGCCCACCCATGAAATCTGCACCGGGACAATTTTGTGCCTCGGTGCCTTCCCTTCAACATTCTCAACTGCTGATTTCATCCTCAGATTTCAGCGTGTTGCAACAGTGGCAAAGGGCTTCTTACTGCCCCTTACCTAGAAAGTCAAGCTTCAAACGTCTCCTAAGTGTATACTGAAATAGTAGTAATAATAAAATAACACAAATATCTGTGTGTGCTTATAGTTACACCAGCAAGCCTTACAACAGTGGCAGTTTTACAGACTTAACAGTAAAATGTCCCCTCCCACCCTATACAATGGCTCGACAATCACGCCGAATAAAGACACCAAGCAATACAGCACAAAGAGCAGAGCCCCCTGCCACCACTTACACACAGGTATTTACGCTTACAGGACAGTGATGGGATGTTTCCTACACGATCCCCAGGCCTGGTGATAAACAGCATCTCAGCTCACACTTCCTGTTAGTGCCTAAGCCAAGCACCGAGCTGAGGAATGAAGTTTGGAAATACTATGAATAATGCTTTGTATTTCTAAATATTGTCTAAGCAGCAGTTGCTCAATTATTTATGTATTTGTGCCCTTTAGGGCTCCATAAAAGTTAGGTGTAAAGCAGCCACCACACAGAGGCAAACGAGCATCCAGGGGGTGGGAAAGGCAAGCAAGACATACTGACGCAGCCAAGCAAAGAGCGTCGAGGAAAATAAAAACAAACAAAAAACCTCACAACAACTCAGCATTGACTTATAAGAAACGAGGCCTTATAACATCACATTGTAAAGTTCTGCTTTAAATTAAATCCAAGTTTATTGTGTGTCCCTGCCTGGCATACAAGGTCTCAATTTTGCCCGCTAATTGGCCTTTATGCCTGGTTTTAGGGTGCCTTGCTCCTGCCTGGCCAAGTAACCTTTCCAATTACCTCAACTGCATCCCCAGTTGTCCAGATCAAATGCTCAATAATGAGCAATGGAAACAGTTTATCACTAAGCTTGCCTCTAAGGGGTGTTCACATGGAGATTACGCTTGCTCTCCATGCTGTTGTCACCAGGCAGCAGCAGAGACACCAAGAGAAGGTGCGTGGCAGCAGACTGCAGAGACCCAGGCTTGGGGCACAACGTGGAGCGAGGCCAAAGTCAATTCAGTGCTAAAAGGTGGTGCAAGGTGCCAGGGATGGTGGTAGGGAAAGGGTAATAAAGAGATTTCAAAGGAATGATTTCAGCTCTTCTCTTGAAATAGCAGAAGAAATCAGTCTCCCTGACCACCCAGAGAGTTGTGATAGCAGCTTTATCAGCAGTAATCCCATGCATTTCAGAAAGCTAAAGCATAAAAAAATGAGTTCAAAAGAAGCACAATTGCAGGTGACCAGGTGCTCACACAGCTGCTTTTGCAAAAGATGTGGTCACGAGGACAAATCAGTGTTCAGAGTCAGTGCAACCACCCCCTTGGGCCTCATCAACTCTGTGATACATGAAACAACCATCCTACCACTGCGACAAGAGCACAATACCCCAATATATCACAGATGCATTACAAGGAGGAGCTCATAAGAGTTTATATTTTGGCATTTTGTAAGGGATGAACAAAATGAGAAAAAAAATAGAGTTCAGATCAATAAAAATGAACTTTTCTTTAAAAAATAATAAAAATAAAAATAAATAAAAATAAAAATAAAAATAAAAATAAAAATAAAAATAAAAATAAAAATAAAAATAAAAATAAAAA